AATGCATTTATTTTGAACTTGGCGTCATGTACCTGGCGTTTATTTGACACCCAAAGCTTGCTTGACCTGACTTTGTTTATGAAGCAATGTTTTTTTTTTCATTAATTTTTAGACATAAATCATTCTGTCATACCTGCAGCTCATTATGCGTCTAATAAATACTTCAGCGGTTTATTAAAGACTCCACCTTGGAGACCTGGTGTTTATTCAAAGCCTGGTGTTTAATCGGTGAAATACAGTATTTGATTTTATTTGATGCTAAATTGTTGTGTTTTTGCAGGATGGAACACTGCAGAACCAGGATCTCCTGCAGTTTTTGTCGGACGCTGATTTTCCCCAGATTGGAAAACGGCCAAGTACTTGGCAAGACTGTGTGAAAGCATTAAAGGACGAAATGACAAATCACGTGGTTATCAGAGCAATGGCAACAATATTCTCTCTAAATATCAATGCGATTGATTGGAATGATGTAAGTAGTTTACTTTCCTTTATGACATATTTTGTACTTTTCCTTAAATCAAGAACTAGGTAATAGTATTGATTATCAATGGACAGTTCAAACATTCATTAAAAACTCTTTTATTTTGTATCTTAGAGAATGACTTCTGTAAAACCCTTCAGTGGCTCTGTTGGAAATCAAGATATTCATCTGGCCTATACAGGTTCTCATTATATGCTGCTTACAACCAAAGCGAGCATTAGCGCAGGTAAGATAGGTTTTATAAATTAGGACAGTTGTAGCTTGCTGCTCATGACTTACTTAATTAGTAAATGCATCAATCAAGCAATCAATCGATGATCAATCAATCATTCAGTCTGCTATTGATCCATCAGTGATTAATCAATTAATCAATCAATCGGTTATCCATCACTCAATTTTTTATCACTCAATTAATCAATCAATCCAACAGCCAACAAACCAGGTTGATCAGCGGTCATGTATTTTGTCATCATGCTAATGAGTCTGTGGTGGGTAGGTGTTCATTTGCTGACTTGGTCAGTAAAATAATTATTAAAGATTAAATGAAGGAAGCATTTCAATCTAAAGCTGTGTTTATTTGCAGTCAAATCCCCTGAGAGGCACAAGGGAGCCAAACCTTTTTTTCATTCTGGTCCAGAAGAATACAATCCTGGAATTAGTATTTTCAAGGGAAAGCCTTTGAAGGTAAGATCACTTGTTTTGCTTTTCATTTGTTGTTTTGTCCGAATACAGTAAACATCAGCATGTAAGAAATTCTGACTAGTGGTAACATTTTAACCAAGGAGATTGACTTTGAGATTGAAGACATAGAGATATCACCACACGTACATTCTGGAAACATTTTTTGTGAGGCTTATCTTATCATAGTATAGTTGTCAATATATATTGTATATTGTATACGTGAGGACCAAACCCATTTTTTTTTATTATATATATTCCACTATTCTGCTTTTATTTGAAGCCTGAAGTCTCTGTAATCATCCTTAGCTCGGATGATGAAGTCAAGTCCTCTGAACGTATGGAAACTGTAAGTTGCAAGTACATGCTCCTAAAATTCTCTTTTCTACTTTAATAGTGAATAGCACTTCTTCTTCATGTCAGGTTATCTGGAGCCAGCTGTTATGTAGTGTAATGCGAATAAACATCACACCATCTTCATCAAGCAAGACTTATCAATAAAGGATATACTTCTGTCTCCAAAAGATATAAGATTCAATTGGCAAATTTTTGCTTGCAAATTATTAAACTATCTGAGGTTACATAAAATTGAGGCCGACAGTTTTACTGCAGTCTTCTGTCTGCCCACTGATCCAGTCAATGGCTGTTATTAATTTTTGGTTTAAATTTGTTGAAGGGATCTCAGGACTGTATACAGCTCAGCTCAGATGGGAGTGATGTTCAAACTTTGAACAAGAGGAAGCGAAGAAAATGCAAACGATCCAACAAAGGAATAGCTGGGGTAAAAAAAATTTTTTTAAATCTTTTAATAAGTATAGATTACATAAGTATTATTTTATGCTACATTTGGATTAATATCTGCTTTGGATTTTATAGCTCTGTAAAAAATCCTGAGACGAAAAAATCTAGGTTTCTGGCACTGACTTGAACAGAAAACAACTGTTCAAGGCACATAGTGGAATCTTAAGCAATCACCGGAAAATGCAAGGAAGAATATATGGATGAAAATCTGAGCTATGGCATACTCAACATGCAGTCTACACACTTCCTCATTTGCTCTTATCACCATCTTTTGCTGCTCAATTCATATGCATGCATTAATTTACCTTTTAAGTGCATCTGTCTGTCTTGAAAATCTACCTAACAATAAACTTTTTTCAAAGGGAGTTATCTTTCATTAAATTTAGCCTGAATCCAGGCTCCTTGGTGGGAAATTGTGAAAAAAGTGAGCAAAGTGAGTCTAGTGGGGGACTGGGGAGGAAAATGTGGTTCCCTTCGTTCACCGAAATTTTTTTTTTTCGCACATTCTCCACCTAAGAGCCCAGTCCCAGGCTAATTTAG